CATACATTGGTGGAATGCTCAATCTGATTTGGATACCTTTAAGCATGATATGTTTCTGTATGCTGGACACCTGGCAGACCAAAAAACATCCACCAGGGTGTTACCCGATGCACACACACACTCACACTTGCACACCATCGAGGCGTGTTCTCCGATACTCTCCACTGAGGGAGATTAAAACTTCCTTTGAACCGGCACAATTAAATTTATATTTACAAATTAGAACAAACATAGTTTCTGAGCCAGCTATCTCTAATTACTTTAGTACCGGTTTCAACTTAATAGTTTTCTACCAAGTGGAACATCACACTATTTTAATTTTTGTTTCCTGAAAATTAAAACAGCATTGTATTTTCACGGTCCCAGGCCTGACCTCCATCTGTGCTTTCCTTGCTACTTACAGAAAAATAATCCTTGCATTTGATATAGCGTCTTATCACATCTTTGAGACGTCTCAAAGCGCTTCATAGAATATACTGTAAACTGAATAATTGACTGTATATTTTGTGGCAGAAATGCGGCATCCATTTGTACATAGCAGTATCCCACAAACAGTCATGGATTGAATGACCAATTTATTATTATTATTTATTTTAAGTAATTATTACCCCTGGAAAAGCGATTCGCCAATCGACTAAAAACTGGGTTCCTACTTAGGACTAGGTAAACAGAGGCATGTGGAGTAAGGAAACTTCCTCAACATTTCACCCTGCCCGGAATCGAACCCTGGTCTCTCGATTGCGAGGCAAGTGCTCTAACCACTGAGCTGCAGGACTCCATAGCTTTCCTTTCTCAACAAAGAATTATCAGGGATTGTAAATGGTGGGCAATTAGCAAACTGACCTGCTCATACTATTCCTCTGCCCGCCCATTCTGCTCAACTGGCACAGGCCTGCTGCGTGTCCCCCAACCGCTCCATAATCGGTGTCCATGCCTTCAATGTGTTACGCCCCTAATTCCTGGAACTCCTCCATGTCAGTCTCTCTTTACCTATCTTTAAATTTCACCTTAAGACGTACCTCTTCAACAAAGCCTATACTCACTAGTCGCGCCCCTCCTCCCTTACTTAGGGTATAAGCCTGCCACTGTGAAGAGCTCTAAGACACTATGCTAAGTAAAGATGTTATACAAATGCATGTTGTTGTAATCTAATGCCACATCACAAGGCACATTGCCTGCCATTCTATGTTAGCTGAAGCATTTTCTGAAAGGATTAAAGCTCCATTCAGGAGAATGCCTCCCTATGTTGTTTTAATAGTTCCACTTGAAAAATCCCTTCTCGATACAATCAAGGTGTTTCTAAGTTTGCCATGCAGACGAGTATGGTATATTATACTGTATATAGTTTAACAAAGGGGTGTGCCTACCTTACTGCTGTGAAATCCTACTTAACATTGCAGGTTGTAACATGCTAATTGTTTTGTTGCTGTCGCACCTCTATTGAACAAAAGTCACGATTTGGTACATATATGAAGTGTCCTCTGAATATGTATTAGGTTGTATATTAATCTTCCGGCTTTAAAGCAAAGAATTCCATAGGATTCACATATTGTTGCCAGCGCCGCAAGCCAACTTGGTAAATAATCACCAGGTTCTGGTCTGCACTGTTCACTGAAAATATTGACCTCCCATACAGATGTAACCAAAAGGGCACTATTTTTAGCGATGAACTTATTTATGGTAGACCCCACTGTGCGGTCGGATCCTCAGTGATACAGAATTGCTGTTAATTCACCCACAACAATATACAGTCAATTCACTTTAAAGCATATTCTGTGAAGCACTTTGAGACGTCTCGAAAATGTGATAAGGTGCTATATCAAATGCAAGGATTTTTATAACAGAATACAAAATGACATTTGTATAGCGCCATTCACGTCGGGAGGACGTTAAATGATATCAGTGTGGATAACAATGGGAAATTTACTACAATTGGTGTCAGATTGTAATCCTGATGGTGATTCTGTAACTTTTACTGGAAAATAAGCCTATGTGAATGCTGCATCAGAACAGAAACTGACCGTTGGTTTACACTTTCTGGTCAACAACAGAAAGTGTTTTCATTCACTCTTTCGGCTTAAAATGCAGAATGGCCATATGTCCATCTGGACCTCTCCCATTCCACAATCCTCCCCAATAGACACTCTTGGGGAGAGAATGGGAAAGAAAAGAAAGTTTTTCTCTAGGAAGTTATTTTAAGCGAGTGCAATGTTTTCACCAGTTTATTTTACATCACACAAAAAAAAACAGAAGCGACTTGGTTTTGCATGTAAGCGATTTCCTTTTTATTTAAAAAAAACAAATAAAGGCGAGATGCAGCCTTTCCTGCACCTGCTGTCAAATGTAATTCAGAGACCTTCACGTTTAAGATCCCTTTCAAAGATGCAAAGCCAATTGACCTCCATGAATGTATCAACTGGTAGGAACGCTGTTGCAACGACAGGCAGATTAAGGAGATCATATACCCCTTCGTTGCTCAGACGTCAAGTCTCCAACGCTTGAGTCGCAGGATGTTATTTTATCCCCTTGTGCTTTTGTTGACCGTTCCTGCTTACAAGCCCCCCTCACACCCCCCCCCCGCCCCCCCTTTTTTTTAATGTAATTCATTGTTTACCAAATAATAAACTTTGTTACCGTGTGGACACTGGTTACCATTGATGAAATACAATTCTCGACCTCTTTGGCAAAACGCAGACAAAGTCTCCGCTGACATATATGCAATGTGCAACTTTTTTTTGTTGACATTGGCAACTCAGTTGCAGCGCGATCTTCACTGCCCACGTTTCAAAACCCGCAGCATCCTTTTGCGTGTGTGTGTTGTGCGTGTTGTGTGTGTGTGTGTTCCTCTCTCTCCCTTTTTCTGTGACCAAATCCAGGAACCAGGCGTTAAGACTCGAGTCTGCGTTTTACACCCCTTCGCAGATTACTTATTAGTTCGAGGGAGACTTACTGGGAAGACTGCGGAATTGCCCTCAGCATCAGTGTGAGAGGATGGTGTGGATTTTATTGGGAGCTGAGCAATTGAGTGTTCTTCACCTTCAATCCAGTCTGAAAGCCCAGCCCAGAGCAGCTGGAAGTTGCTAGACTTCTGAATCGTGTGATCTTATTGACCTGCAATTGAGAGAGAAGGCTCCCCGGGCCAGTGCAGGACACTGTAACCAGGGGAAAAGAAACCAGGCAGTTTTAAGGCAGAGGGAGGGGAGGACAGGACACTTGACCCCGGATGTTTCTACCTTGTAAGTTAAATTTTGCAGGAGCAAACTTTTTGTGACGTGTGATCATCGCTGTACAGTACGTAAAGTCTCACATCTTCACCCACACGTGATAGATAGAGGGGGAGCTGAGACAGCGAGGGTAACACACACACACACACACACACACACAGGGAGACAGACAGACAGACAGACAGACTGACAGACACACAGCGAGGCTCAGCTCTCAGTCACTGTGCAGGTAAGGAGTGATTGACTGGCTCAGCGCAGAGGAGCCCAGTCTGCATCACGATGGTTGCAATCCGACAGATTGCATTCATAGCCCTTTTATTCTATACCCTCATCCCGTTTATATTAACATGCAGTGTCGAGTTATACGTAAGACACACCGACTCTTCCACAACGCCAGAGTTTGTTAAAAGAAAAAAACTTCTGCAACAATAATACTTTGCTCTCTGGCATATCTATATCGACATATTTTTACATATATATGCATATATGTGTGTGTGTGTGTGTGTGTGTGTGTGAAGTGGGAAAGGGTGTCATGTTATCTTTTTTTAAAAAAGAATCTGAACGTTTTTAAATCATGTTGTAAACCCCGTGGGATCGGGTGAGGTTTTACCGAATACGAGTGGATTTTTTCTCTGTTGGAATTGAAATCGTTGAAATGGGTGAAAAGGCAGAAAGAGTCGGTGATGTTCCCACTTCACAGTAGAGGGGGAAGAGACGTTTCTGTGCGTGTGGGTGTCTGTGTGGGTGTGTCTGTGTCTGTGTTCGTCTGTCTGTGTCTGTGTGTATGTGTCTGTCTGTGACCAAAAAAAATAAGTCATCTTTAGATCCCGTCTGATCCCACGGCAATGAATGTGTTTGTGGGAGCGCTTATGTTAACTGTGCGCGGTTTGAAGTAGAATAAGACTGAAATAATAAATGGTGTGTAATGGAAGCTGTGTGTGGGGGGGGGGAGGGAGGGGGTGTGGGGGGGGGGGAGGGAGGGGGTGTGGGGGGGGGGAGGGGGGAGGGGGGAGGGGTGTGGGGGGGAGGGGGGGAGGGGGGGGGGGGTGAACAGGGGAGGAAAGTTTGTTGAAGTTGTTGTCCTGTCGGCTTTGACAGTGCGGTGAGCGGGAGGTGTGTGGGATGGAGCCCGTGTGGAGGGGCGGCTGGAGAGGGACTGGCGGCGAGGCTCACACCTGAGAGAGGACCCCGGACGCTCGCTGGTCAGAAGGAAAAAAAAAAAAAGCCAACACATCATCCGTCTGCTTTTTCCCTTCTCCCTCCAAACCCACCCGCCCGACATTCCCGAGCGGCGCCGGGATGAAAAACATGAGCAAGAAAGAGGCGGCGGACAAGGCTCCGGCTTACACTTTGCAGACGGGAGCCGCCGCTGACCAGTGCACCACGGACCTGCTGAAAGCCGTGTCCGAGTCCATGGGGCTGTACATGGACGATTTGCTGCCGCAGAACGACGTGGCGTCGGACTTGGGGGGCAAAGCCAACAAGAACTCCGACAGCAGAGAGGCTGCTGCCCCGGAACACCTGGGGAGCCTCGGGCTGTCAGCGTCCGCCTCGGAGCTGAGAGACGCCTCCGAGCAGCCGATCTGGAGAAGTTGCGACCTGGGGTTGAGTGGGTCCGAGAGGTTGGGGGGGGCAAAGCCATGCGGCGACCCCGGCACCTCCTGGCCACTGGAGGACGGCAGGGACATGGCCACGGAACCCAAACTCGGCAAAGTTACTCCCGGAGACGGTCTAAGTTCCTTAGATCCCGGCAGAGACGCCGGGACCCCACAGGCCATGAAAACAGAGAGCGACGAGGGGTCTCACCCGAGCCCCCGGGGGCAGCTGTCGCCTCTCAACATCTTCCGCTTCCCCTGTCTGCCCCTCAACCCCATCTATCTCGCTGCACGAACTCACCAACTTCTCACCGCCAACGACCGCGATCACGTCCCCTACATCCCCGACATCTCCAGCTCCTACAGCTTCACCGAGACGCCGGGATCGTCCAGCACCAGGACAGAGAGGACCCCCCACCCCCACCCCCACCAGCTTCCCGGCCTGGGTCTGCACGAGGAGTCCAATGACACATTCGCTTACATGCCCACTGGCTACAGTCCATACACTGACTATGTGGCCTCCCAACAGAGGCCAATCACGAGAGGAGAACCGCCTGAAGACGCTGTTATGTTTAAAACTGAGGCCACCGACTCCTATGGGCTTGAGTCAGGTCTGGGCTCCAGCTTCCTCAACCAAGACGATACCATGCCCTCCACCTCCTCAGCCCCTGTGACCTGGTACCAGCCGGTTACTTATTTCGGCTACCAAGGTGGGACCAAAGGACTACCAGACAACTATGCCCAAGGCTACCCTCAATACCCGGGCTTGTTAAGGTAGGCAGCGGCTTTCAAAGTATTCCTTCTCAGTCGTTTCAGGCCATTTGGACGCTTTCTGGTTCATTGCATTTGTTTCTGTTTTCGAAAAAAAAAAAGAAAAAAAATCGTTCGTTCCCAATTTGTTCTGTTCAGTCAGACAGAGCTCTGGCGATCTGTTAATTTCAGTGTCCACCACTTCACACAGTTGTCAGTTCCCGTTTACAAAACTGCATTCCCTTTGGTTGAAGGCTGCAGTGGTAAATCATGGGAACGAGATGCACTGGAAGCTCAGGCCATCGTTGCACAAATTAGATGCTGTGAGTTTTAAGTGACACTGAAACAGTTGTGATACATATACATATAAACACATTTGACCGTAATTTTATATTGCAAATGAACAACTTTTTCAACTGTTGAGTGTAGGCTATATGCTGTGTATCTGATGTTGGTACGAGATATGGTAGTGTCTGCATTTACCTCCCTGTGATATTAATTGAAGATAATTAACAAGCAGCAGTGTAAACTACCTGTATTTTCTAGTCCCCGACATCTCCAGCTATCCATCTAGTCACATGTAACATTTTAGACACATTAATCAATTAGATTTAGCCAACTTCTCTAGAATTTATGCCTCCCTCGATTCATACAATTCTCTTTTCACCCATATCAAATAGCAGGGCAAACTTTTTAAGAAAATCTTTTAACTTTCGTATTTTTAACAACAGTGCAATCTGACCCAATGTCCCACCTTACATTTGTAGATGAATCCAACTTGTTATAGTTTTTTATTCTCTCATTTCCCAGCCTGGGTCTATTCCTTTCTCTTTTTTGCACAAAATTTTGGCCAGGGTAGTGAAGGGAATTTCCATAGTTGTTATTTATAGTTGATCAGACACCGTTGGCAAGGGTTTTTGACTGAAAGTTTGAGGGAGAACAGTAATTCCAATCTACACTGTCTCTGGCTTGCTGCACTTTCTGCAATTACAACTGAATAATTATTACAATTCCTTCCTTTCTTAAAATTATTTTTTAAAAATTATAGAAAAACTTATGTCAAGGCAAAAAAATATAAATTTGAATTATAGAAATTAAATACTTCTTTAAAATATTTTTTAAAATTTTTACAAAGCAAATTACATTTACAATGATAAATCAAGATGGTGCTTTCAACTAACAAGATTTACTAGCTAGATATTATAGTTGGGTGCAGACTGAGTGCCTGAGTCTTTGAAGTATTGTGTTTTTATTTCTGGGAAATGGGATTGAATTCTGCCCAAACAGATATTCTGCATGTCCAAAAGTATTCTCACTTAATTTGTAGCAAGGGTCTGTTGATTGAACATGGTTAAGACAATCCGTAACAAGAATTAATAATCTGCCAGAACAATATACCGATCATTATCTGTCTCAATTAAAGTGTAAAAGATTGTTTGGTTACAAACACTAACATTTCACACTGGCACAGAGCAGTAAGTGCAGCAGTGGATTGGTATATTATTATTTTTCTGAATCTGAATTGGTTTGAAATTCAGTTAAGATTTCTAGGATGAAACTCTCCTCGTTGTAATGTTCTTATGAGAAATGGTTTTGGACAGTATTAACTGATTTCCAAGTGAATATAAACCCCAAAACTGCCTAATCGGCAATTTTGCTCAGACGGACTACCAAGAAAGGTTAGTGTGAGAAATGGATAATGCTGCATTGATGCAGTAGGGAGTTCTTTCTGTTCTTCGGTTGTAGCTGAGATTCTTTGTTGAGGCAAAATCAAGGGAGCTCTAAATCTGTTTATAACACATGTACCTGACCTAATAATCGGTGATGACACTGTGCCTGAAATGGCAAATTGCTCTGTTTTCCAATGCAAACTTTGCACCAAATTTTATCTCAAAGTTAAAATAAAAATAATACAGGTGAAGTGGTGGTGCTGCTCTGCGGTATGGGGTTAAAACATAACTCAGAACAGAGCAGAGTGGTTTTGTCTTAAATCTAAGCTGTTGTTATCAGACTTGTTGGTGCTTGATGTTGATATTGACACTGGATAGCAAAACTGGAAAAGTATTGACTTTTGGTCACCTTGATCAGATTAAAATTCACTCTCTTCTCTCTTCCTCCCAACATTTTAACAATAAAGTACAATGGTTTATTCATTTATCTACACACTTTGCAAACTATACTTCTTCGTACGATCAAAAGGGGTGTTTCACTGCTTGAACTTCTTTATACAGAGAGCATGTAGTCGGCCAAATTCATTGAATAATAAAAATAAAATCACGTATAATACATTGTATAATATATGATAAATGTAAACTTAGAAGAATGACTTGGAAATACACCCTTTAAAAANTAATGATCAATGCCTGTGTAATTCAACCTTGAGTTAATGTAAATTGGTATTTCTATTTTGTGTTGTCAGTTTTGTTAAACTCAAATCTGCCACCTCTTCCCTGTTTGAACAAATCTTACTCAGATATGGGACATTTACAAGCAAGTTTATACACACTTGAACAAAAGTTGAATTCTCATAGTATTTAGCATGAATGGTTGTATGTCTATCAATACTGTTATTCATTACTAGCAAAAGTAGAGGCTAACCTTCAAGTTGTTCTCAGGGGCATTTGAATGATATGATTTATCATGCATGATAAGTGGGTATGATGTAATATGAGAGTTTCAGATGTGTACGGGCAAAGCCTCATCTCTGCTTCAGCCTACTTATTTAAACGTTAAAGTTTTGTTCCCTAACTTTACGGTGTGAATAAAATACAATATCACCAATGTTTTAGGCACGGCAGTTAATTTATATTTGACAAACATTATAGCTCTCAATATAAATTTTGTTGATATGTAACTATTTAAAGGTCTCCTTATGTGTTATTAATGAATTATACAGGACAAAAAGTGAAGGTTAGAATTTTAAAGCTGGGGAGCCTCATGTTATCCCAAAGCAGTTGGCAGGCAACACAGTGCTAACTTGAACCTTCAAGTCTTGAGTTCCTTTATTAATTACAGGCTACATTATGGTAAATGTTGTTCTATTTGTTAAACCTCCCACTGCTAAAAGCAGCTGGCAGGTTTGTTGCAATTGTTTGTGTGCATTTTGCTTGAATGTTCAAGTTTTTCCTTACCTCTTTGTTGAGTTGGTTCTGACGGGGAAGGGAAAAGTAACTATTCAATTTTAAATATACCGTTTTCACGGCACTAGATCTGAAGAACTTCTTTTGTTTGTAATTTGTGAAGGTTTTCACTGTGTGCCCAGTGAATTTCCAACAACTGAGTATTCATAAATACTCACGGCTGCCTGAGTGGGTAAAAACACGTCCACTGAGCCATGCAGAAATGATAAGTCCAAGCTGTAACAGAGAAATGAAAGAAATATGCAGGTGACTGAAAGTAAAAGAACTGGAAAAAATAGAATTCAGTAAATGCATGAAAGGGAATAAAAGAAACAAACCTACTGAAAGAAATACAACAGTAAAATTAAACAATATATATTAACCAAAGGTAAAAACCTGGTGAGGAAAGGGGAAGCACTTTGAAGATAAATATCACCTGAAAATGCTTTGGTTAAATAAAAACTAGAAAGGCATGCAGAAAACGAGAAAAAAAGGGAGTTATAGAAAAGTAAGGAGTATCCTTTTATCAAAATATTTAAAATAATATTAATAATACAATGTGTGTTTTATGGTGCTTTTATGTTCTACGGTCTTTTTTCCTATTCTGTTTCAAACAAAGCACAGTTCCATGTCTGCAAGTTGCCAATGCCACTTATACCATTTATTTCAAAAATAGTAGTAAAAAAATAAACATGACAAAAGGAAATACTGCAACCACCTTAATTCAGGAATTAGCACATGTTTAAAAATTGAACATCAAAAGTACAAGAGTGGAGCACTCAACAATTACAGAGCAGTCCACCGGAAGTACGATGCATTTTAAAAGGTTATAAAACATTGTAGAAAAAATCTGGAGATTAATAGGTGCAACACAAAGAACGTTAACATCAAAAACAAAACAAACACAAGCCATTTGTAAATGCTGAACAATCCTGAAACATGCCTGAATATATATTCCCTGCTGCTGCACAATTGACAAAAAGATGGCTTTTTTATTTTGAAATAGATCATTTATACTACTGTATAATACATGTACCTGCGTACAAAAATGCACGATCACTACCCTTTAGAGTAAATCCTGTGAAGTGCTTTGAGACATCCTCCTGATGTAAAAGGTGCCAAATCAAATGCAACGATCATTTATTACCTGTATGAAATTACTTGGACAACTAATTTGAAAAATGCAATTTAAGTTTAATAAAGTAAATAAAGATCAGCAAGGTTAATTATTTGAAAAAGACAAATGGAAGTATAATCAGCCAGAAACAGATCAGCAAATCATGAATTAATTTACTTTGAGTTTACTGTATCTGTAAAATACAATGGAAACACATAATAGATAGAAATCCATGTTGGCCAATTGCTACTAACTACAAAATGAAAATAAAATATAATGTCATCTTTTAGTCTTATCGATAGATAGATAGATTTAAGGATCTGGCTGAATATCTAGATAGGTTACAATGTTTATGGTAGCTCAAGAAGTTATAAATTATTTCTTCCACCTTGGTGTACACTAATCTCCTTAACTACCATATTCATCAGCCCTACACGAGTGATACAAAATAATGGGGCATTTAATAAACAAATATTATAAACAAACCAATGTAGCAAATAATCTGCTTTTTGTTTTGGTCACTCGGGTGTCTGACACACGTGAAAATCCATCACTGTGATTAAGCCAAATCAAACTACTAAGAGTTCCACATTCTGTATGTATTGTTTCTGTTTTATGGTGTGGAGTGTGCATTCTCTCCTGGAGGGCCCACCATCCTGCTTACCTAGTCTTGGAGTTTTTACACACAGGTTGACAAGAATCAAGCCATGGGGGACTGTTGGATTTTAACAAGAGAAATCTGTGCAGTTTGCCACTGCAAACAAATGGGAAGTTTCCTGCTCTTTATC